TTAATACAATTGAAAAAATTTTTATTCAGAGATAATAATAGAGACTGCAAAAAAATATTGGTGGTTAAAATAATAATTAATTTGCGTGTCTAGAAAATTAGCAACTAAGTTTTTTTTCCATCAAACATACTGTAATAACAGATTTGCATTAGAAGCAAGTTAATATTATAATAAACAATATATTAGTCTCCTTAATGAAGAATCTCTTGCAGATTTAAATAAATAATTATGTTGCTAATTTTAGGAATGTTTCTTTTGTGCGGCCACACATATTTAATTTATTGGTTCTCGTAATATTAACTTTTTAAATGCAGTATTTTCATATAAGAAAGTGGCAATAGAAGAGTTTAAATTATTTATTCAAGCTTTATGGGCAACCAGATGTGCGCTATCTGTTATTATTAATGGCTATGAAAAAATAGGAGAAAAACTGTTAAAAGATTATAATTGGATTACTAGTTCTGACCCATATGAAGTCGATTGCAGAATACAAGGCTATCAATCACACACTTCGCCATAATGAAAAGCATTTTTAGCTATCTTGGTGTGGGATATATGATCCTTATTGCTTAAAAGCTTCTTAAATATAATCAACAAAAGTTTACATAATAAAAATTATTATTTTGATAATTTGAAGTTAGTTAAAATTCAAAACAAGCGAATCTACACTTCAAATATTTCTTTACAAAACTCGACATCAAACCCAGAAAGTTTTGTACGTAATATCACATGAATTAACAGATTCATGGTCTGTAAAATCTTATGATCATAATATCTATATTTTGGCACTATTAAATTGATTAAGCTTAATTCGGGCCATTGCTAAATAACTCCCATGAATGTTATTTTGCGATAACAAAATTCATTGAATTTTTATAAAATATAATGTTATCCGATTCAGGATCTAATAAAATAAGTAAATACATAATTTGAATAAACATAATAAATTTCTATATTCAAAACAAATATATTTAGCGATCCTAAAATTTATTTTCATAAAGGTCTTTGTAATTTTCATCAAAATACTCCTTTATTTTTTGGTCTAAGAATTTTATGCCAAATATCATTATATTTGCTGCTCGAAAACCTTACTTATTCACAATAACCGTTCCTATAACCAGTTTCCCTCTTATGTATTGATTTATTAGATTTATCTCGCGTAATGAAAAAGTATTGCTAAGAAACTATTTAAATAGCCTTTTAATCTGGACACAAAGCAGAAAACTAAATATATTATACTACCAATCACCCTGAAAGCAGATAGAATCATAACTGACCAAAATACTAAAACAAAATAATTAAAATTAATAAACATTATAATCATTTAAAATAAATTTAAATAAATAATATACCAAAAACCAAATAAGAGTTATAATCGTGAGTTGAAAAATATTTTGCAAAAGTATTTGATGTGAATAAAAATATTATTAAACCATTTGTAAATATTTATGAAAGAACAAAATTTGTTCTAAACAATCTATAATAATCATCTTTCTTTATAATGTCATTGCGGTGTTTTTTCTCTTCATGATCTTTATTTTTTAACTCCTGGATAATATTTTCGTATGCAGCATTTTTATCCTCACCTTCTTCAATTATATTAATTTTAACGGATTTTGGATCTTCTTCAGTTAGCAGTACTCTGCTCAGATTTCCAATATTAATATTATCTCCTTTGTACACTATGAAACATCATGAGTATTACAAAAAGCATAAATCATAATAATATTGACATAGGAAAGAACAAGTAAAAGATATTGAACTAAACAGCTGAACATATGCTATGGTTCACAATGAATAAAAGATGAAAAAAGATATAGCAAGTAAGTTAAAACAACAGAAATTATAATATCACGGAATGCTGCATTCCTTAAAGTTTCTTGAATATTCGAAAGGTTTTTAAAATCTATTGGTGGTATTGCTTTAGATAAAGTGAGATACATAATATAAATTGAACAGTAAAGCATAAATGCCATGATAATTGCAAAGAGGACTATACAGAGTATATATATTAATTTTGTTCCTTGAGAACGATTACCCATTGAACAAATAAAAATTATTACAATAATTATTAAATACAACGATTGTGCAGTATCAAATAAATTATCTCCATGGCCTTTGAAAGGATTAATTGCAGGATTTAAAGTGGTGAACTGAATTAAAAAAAAAATGACAAATAAAAATTTGCCTAATTTAAGTAATGAATAAATTAATAAGTGAATAATATCAATCTTAAACTTTGTTTATAAATATTAAAGATTTATCATATTTACTAAAGAGAACCAGTTGAAGATTAATTGTATACCATTATAAACAAATTGTATTTGTAATAATATTTTGCGAAAAAATGGTTGTCCAGATCTCCAAATATGATTAAATTTGGAAATAGAATAGAAAGCAGTAAAGAAAGATCTATTCAACCAGCGACAACGTTGGGAAATAAATTCAGGCACATTGTCTGGGACATCAGTTTCTGCTTTAGCTGACTAAATTATATAATAAAGTTGAAGTTTGAAAAATTATAAAATACTAACTACTAATACAATTATCAAGAAAAGACTTGAATTGTAAATATTTAGACCAAATAAAATAATTATTAATTTGTAAATAATATTTACCTTTATGTATTTTAATTTTCATGATTCATTTTTCTTAATGACAAGCTCAAAACTTAAAATATGATCTTCTGCCAGGTACATGTTTGCTTCAAATATACCAGTCTTAGTAGCATCTAACCCATGCATAGTCTCACCTTTAAAGTATGATTCTAATGGTCCATTTATTATTGCTTTATTCCTGTATGCGGAGAAAGTGCCTAGTAATACTGAGATGTAGCCAAAAACAGACTCAGATGGTTTGTCTAAGATATTAGATATTTTATATTTAAAATTTTGAGAAGTAATTAAAGGATTAAGAAGGTTTCTACATTTATGATCAAGGTCTACTTTAATTTCTCCACAAGCACCACCAACATGAGGATCACTATTAAAAGCTGAAAAAAAATTTTTGATATAAATATCAATGTCACAGGTAATGCTGAAATTAGCTGATACCAAGATTTGGAGTATTCTCTATTCATATTATTTAACAAATACAAAAAATTAAAAATGCATTAAAATATATTATAGGTTTAAGTTCAATTATCAGCATCAGCTAACCTTAGCCATAAACAAAATTAAGTGAGAATACCTTTCCACAAGTGATAAATTGAGATTTGCGAAGGTTTTGTGCCCATATCAAATAAAATACAAATATTTGGGCTCAAAAGAGGAGCAAAAGCATTGAAAGACCAACGATGAGTATTTAATTTTTTTGCATTTATTTCTTCTAAACAAAACATAATCTGTACTGGTGGGATACTATAGTCTTTTCCTTTGACATTAAAATCATTATTGACCATTAATTGTGTAGTATATTCGAAAAGATGTGCAGTAACAGCTCTTTTTTTGACACAATCTTGCATAATTCCATCTTGGTAACAGCCCATAGCACTCAAGATATTTAGTATCTGTTTATTGATTTTATTACGACTATCTGACACTATTAATACGCCAATTTTTTGCCAGTCTTCATCTCCCCAACTTTCTTTTGAACAAATATAAGTGACATTTTTTATGACAGAAGACATTGTTTTAATAAAGAGAGTATCGTTTTTATTATACATTGTAATAACAATCATTATTTCGATATCTCGCTTATATTTTTTTTGTCATATTAAATATTTTTTTATTTCAAACTCGTCTGGATCGCATGTGATAGCTGTGTATCTTATATCTGTAAATTTTTCACTTTTAGTGTATTTAACTTTTGTAAAAAGTGATTTAGGTACTGGATATTCGAATACCAAATTTCCATTTGTAAGCTTGACAGGCTACAAGTAAAAAATGAAATTTGTTTAAAAATAAATATTTATCTAAAAAATGAATACT